AAATCCATCGTCATTTGTCTGGTCTCTTCCAATGCCGCCATATTGAGGGTTAAAATAACAATAATTGCCCCGCCCAAAACCAGCCCCTCCCTTGTCATGCCATTGCAAAGTTTGCATCCGGTTAGCTTGTTCTTTGATCAATGGCAACTAAAACCAGTTCTTGTTCCTCTTCTCTGAGTCTCTTCTCTTCTCCTTTGACTATTGGTAATGTTCATTAACTATCTATGTATCATTGAATATGATTTTAGGTCAACTTATTGATGTACTTAATCTGTTGAAGAGATGTGGTTTCCCTCGGAGGAGATGGAAGGAACTAGGACTGACACTAGGACTACTCATGGACTCACTGGACGCTATTGCGGAAAACTACTCAAAAGTAGAAGATCGTTTTATTGAATGCATTGCCAGATGGTTGCGTAGAGCTGATAATGTTGACAGTAAAGGAGGAGCTACCTTTGACTCACTGTCAGATGCTCTTAAATCTATGAATGAGAATGCTGCAGCTGACAAGTTAGATCAAGAGAGTAAGTTAATATCACTGATTGTATTAGTATTGACTGTGTGTGTGTATTCTTTATCTAGAACACAGTGCATGTTTGTCACTGGCTATTGATATATTCAACACTCATCGTCCACTCCTCTCTCAGTCTCTCTCTGATCCTGTCAGTGTAGCTATTATGCTTCAAAGAGAGGGTGTCATAACAGGACAAGTATTGGCTAGTGTGGAATCAGCTAGTCCCTCTGTTCCTAATCAACGTGAAGTCCTGTTAGCTGCCATTATAGTAGCTATTGAAAGCAAGTATAGTTTACTACAAACATTTGCTAGTGTGTTGTGCAAGTTCACTGGTAATGTAAAACTAGGAACAGTTATACAAAGAGACTATGGTAAGTCTATTCCATTTTACATTAATACGTAAATGATGCTCATAATTTGTTTCATAGACCAATCCTTCAATGATGATAAGAAGCTTATTAAAGTTGTTATTCCTGATGATGATATGAGCACTGATACATTAAGCACTGGAACAGCTACACCATCACCTACTCCACCTAACACACCTACCGGTAGGTATA